AATAATAATAATAATAATAACAACAATAATGGCATTCGATTTGCCTTGGAGATTTTCTGTATTGTCACAGGTAAAAATGCGGTCTCTCAAATATTGTAGGAAATAGCTCAGTGAAAAGAACAGATGGGGGAATGCCTTCCCAGCCCTATAATGGAAACATGCTGTGTTTTCAAGATGTTACGGGTATGATCAGTTGCCAAACTTAGGAATGGGAAAGGATTTTTCCCTGCAGGCATATTTTTTTTCACCTTTGTCTTCAAGAGAGTTCTTCAGGTTAGTAACAGAATGATTTTAAACTTTTGTGTGAGTTTGTAATGTTGTGATAATGAATAGCTACTGCAGATGAAATTCTAAAAGAATGCAGCTCCAGCAATTAATGATCAATTTAGCATTATTGCTGGTGAGAGTCTACTGCTCTGTGGAAAGAAAAGAGGACATTCTGGTATTCACACTTGTCCTTGTATCCTAGTGTCCTCATGGGTGGAGCACAAAAAGAGCCAGAGATGACCTGAATCCTGGGGAGCAGTGTAATAAGGCACTTTTCTGAATTATTTGGCATAAATGTTATTACCAGAGTAGATCCAATTAATGCCTCATAAAAAGGTGAGAGTTGGGTAGATGGCTGGGGAAATCCAGGAGTCAGACTCTCATAGCATGTAAAGGTAATTGTGATCTTGAATCCTAAAACGCATGTCAGTAATACCGTTTAACTCTCCTGTATGTTTTTTAAGTGTCAGTGCACACCTATTATAAAGTCCTCCTGGGAATTTCCACAGCATCTGTATTTCTGTTCAACATAATTAGAATGAATTTTATTTGATCTGACAGCTAAGTATTAGTGCTGAATCTTCATGAAAAAGCTACCTGTCCAGCTGTAGGGACAACCAGAACATAATGACGGGGGTAGGGGGGCAGTGAGCTGGCGTTACCACAGCCAGGAGCAGCAGCAAGGATCCAAAACGCCCTCACCCATAATTTCGCTCATGTTTTGATCGGTCATACCAGACTCCATAAATGAGTTTAAACTAATCCTTGGTCATAGCAAGAAAAGAGCTGTAAAGCTGTTGCATGTTGACTGTTCATTTTAGCAAACTTCAAAGTTCAACTAGATTAGTCGGCGTTTTGCAAAATCTAATAGTGGACAGTATATTACGAAGCAGAAATACTTTCTGCCTATAGACTAAACCCAGTATGTTACAGTCTGTCTTCTTTTTTCTGCACAAAGGGATAATTTAAGAATGTAATGGTAAACTATTTAAAAAGGGAAAATAGATACAGGTGGCCCAGTTCTTGAGAGCCTTCTCTCTACCCAGCTTGAGATCTATGAAAAGGGCTGGCCAGTTTTGATGTCATCTTTTTCCCTCTCCCTTTCCTTCGACTGGAGACGTAAGTTTTCTATAACACTACCCAGCACAGTCAGGACTTTTCTTATTTATAGTCCATTGCAAAGGCCCTTAAAACTACCCTTGTATTTCTACATATATCGGAGATAACAGGGACAGAGAGAATTTATGGTGTTGAGTACAATCATAGTCTGCCTGTGTTCACGCTACATAGCAGCTGGCTTTGAGTGCCATCTGTGGCCATCAGAAAAAAAATTTCTTTTCTTGTGTTTCTTTGTTTTTACTTCAAATTGCCTATATTAAGGTGAGTGTTGCATTGCAGCCCACTAGCACGGGTTTGGGGTTTTTTTTTTAAACTACGAAACTGTGACTCTACAGTAGCAATTCAGACATGTCTGAGACCATTCTCTGGCACCATCTGTCATGGAATGTTCTCCATGAGTGATACTAAATTCTCTTAGTCTCCAAAATAAGAAGCCTACAACCAAATTGCCTATTGTGAATGGCACCTCGGTTGTGCTGGTTCCCTAAGGACATTTCAGGAACTGTTTGGAGAGATAAGGGTGGTCCTGACTAAAATAGTGAAGACAATTCTAAAAATTCATCCATATAAAAAAAAGGCATTTTGGCACCCAGGAATATTCCTCCAAATGTCTAATTTAGTAAGACAGGCAGAGCCTGAGGGTTTGTCTTGTATGGATATAGAGAGACACGTGCGAGAGGTTGAGAGTGTAGACGCTGCTGGGAGAGTGCCAAAAAGAAAAGGACAGAGGGAGTCAAGCTTGGCACAGTCTTGGCCATACTGCATATTTAGCACTGTGGTCCTCAGAACCACATCCATAGCATTTGTTATCCTCAGAACTGTGGAAGGATGTTGTCTCCGAGAGTGTCAGCTGTCACTGGTCACAGACAAAGCAGAGAAAGTGTTAAACATTTAAGCAGTATGGCCAATCACTCTAGCTTGACCTCACCTCCAGGCTCTATTCTATTTTGCAGTCAAGCTGCTCTGAGTTATCGGAATAGCAGCGTTTTGGCCACACAGCACTATCTCGATTCCGTTCATCAGGATGCCTGGCCAAGCGAAGGAATCTAGGTGGCTGTTTGAAGGTTTTATGGCTTTTTTATTTTGCTTTACCTCAGACAGACAGCCATATACTAGGTGTAAGAATACAGAAAAGCCCACAGGCTTAATCAGAGGAACCATAAAACAGGGAGGTGAGATGGGGTTAGTCTGAGTCAGTACTTCTAAAACACAGCAGCAACTGGCACGGTATCGTTGCCACTCTCACTTCCCCAGCAGTCACTCCCAATGCCCCATCCTTCCCTTTTTACAAACAAATGTATTTTCCTGCATTATAATCATACTTTTAAAAATATTAGGCCTTGGAGCAACAATGCTGCAAATGAGACAAGATAAAAGGTGTCAGCATCTTAAATAATGGGAGTCAAAAGAAAATATGTAGTGGGAGGACTGATTCTTGAGAGCAGAATGTGTACCGCATTGCTGGTGTTCGTTGGGTGTTGGATTATGCTTTTCTGAGTGATAGGAAGAGTGGTTTAGTATCTGCTGCCACAGAGAATGTTCTCATTGTGAATAGCATGATATTCCTACCTTTCAATAAAGAACAGTAAAATTCAGAATTCTTTATATCACTACAATTATAAAACTTCTGTTCATATTGCTTGAATTTAATTTTAGAATTGCTTGCTCATCATAGTTTTGTTACGATTCATGTTTTTCTTCTTCCTTTCTATGCATTTATCCTAAAGCGCATTTAGAGTAATCTTTTCATTTTATTTTCCTTAAACTTACTGTGTGAATCTGTGTCTGCTGCATTATTTGAGATGTTACATGATGGCTTAAGGTAGCTACAGTCTCTGGGGGAAAATGACATAAGAGATTAAGGCGCGATGTTAACCTACCAAGAAACCGCAATCAGACACAGAAGGTCAGCATTTCAGCAAAAGCAGGTCACCAAAGCAAACCCTTTTTTCATTGCAAGGCTTCTATCACCGCTGCTATAGCTGCATTTGGCTAGTTCTACCGATTTCTTTTCTATGGACTAGAATCTGAAATCTGAACATACATGTGCTGTGCTTACAGCCCAAATAATGACAAAATTGCTTTTGTTTGCATGTGCAAACAGGGTAATTTTTAAAGTTATGGTTGATATATGGTGGTCACTGGATGTTAAAGTGTAGCCTGAGATCTGTAGATTCCACACAAATATTATGATTGTTCAACTTCTCCGGAGACACACATAATGAATTATATCAAAATATTAATATGCGTGAACAGACAATCTATGCAAAAACCCCAAATTCATAAATTATTGATATCCCCTTGAAAACTAACTGCTGCATTGCTTCTGGTAGAGAGTAGAGGAAGAAAACCCCCTCAGATATAAACAAAACTCTAAGAAACTTAATCATACTGGCTGAGATAGAACAAAATGGTCATTAACTAACACAACCAAACTTTCTCAGTCATTGGGATCTAAGTCTGAAATTGTGGATATTCAACCTAAAGAACCTTATGAACTTGATTTTTTTATATAGCATGTGATCCATAAGCTTTGACAACTGCAGCACTTCATCATTCAAAATTTGACACATTCATAATCACTGTTTGGATGTGAAACTCATATGCCAGTAAATTAGTATTGAAGAAAGAGAGATAGAACAAATGATTGAGAATCTCTTCAACACAGCAGCCTTCTGCAACGATGTGACCTGTCCTATAGAAGTGTCACACTTTTTCAATAGATAGATAGCCAGCAAAACAAAAAAAAAAAAAGAAAAAAAAAACCCAGATGAAAATGAAGAGGCAGAGAAATTAAAAACTGAAACCATGATGGTTAATATTGCAATATGACAGTTTGATCTCAGAGTATTTTACAAACAAGTTGCACCAAAGTAGTTTTAATGAATAGCTCATCATGTTCTGTACAGTACCAATTGAATAACCCTATGTCAGAAGTCTAAAATCTGCTAAAATGAACACTTCACATTTACTTTTAGGAAAATACTTTTAATAATCAGGAATAATTCAGTAAAACTTACTTCAAAGTCAAGGTCCGAATAACGTGATTTTCTTCTCTATTAAGCAGTAAAAAAGAAAGAAAAAAGAGGTTGTATTAACAAGGGGACTATTCACCAATTCATATTAATGATTCTAAGTAACATTCTTGTTTTCCTATCAGATATGTATTAGGTATTCTGTAAGAGGTTGTAGATTTTATCTTGATAATTTAAGATTAATGCATGACTTTGCATACAGTTTATTAGACCAGTATCGTATTCTTTTCTCTGAAATAAACCAGACTGCATTTCACTGGGATGCATAATGTGCATGTTATTTGCATGCAATTGAACCTGTTGGTATATCTATTTCTATACTTTCTGTGGTATCTGCAAATTATCATAATATTTATTCTTTTTACACAGCTATCTATACGTATCTATGATTTAGATTTTGATAGGTATACAGAAATTCATTCTTTCCTAGATCAGGCTTACATTGGTACAACTCCATTGATTTTAATGAAATAAATGACAGCGAAACCAAGCCGAAGCCATCTACAGTTTCCATAGCTTCAGTTTGTTTGTTTGCAATGACAATCTGGATGGAGAAAGCAATGATTTTGTTTTACACTTATGACAAATCTGATTCAAAGCATCTGATATAAAGCAAGAATGATTTACTAGTGAAGTAATCACTTGTATACAATGCAACAGAATATGATTGCTTAGACATATCACAAATAATTTAGCACATAATTTTTTACAGATTCTAAAAGAAACCAATTATAAAGTCAAATTATATCAGAAAGAAGCAGAGATACTATAAAGAAGAGATAAAAATATCTTTTTTTTTTTTTCCTAAGGTTGGAAATTGAATGGCTTGCAATAGACTAAAGAGATGTAGAAAGAAGAAGCCGGGTTGGAAGCGCTGAAAAGAGAGCAAAGAACATGTGAATGGAAAGAAAAGATACACTCCCCTTCAGGAAGGAAAGTTAAGGGAATGGAAAAGTACCCCCAAAAAAGAAAAAGGCTTGCTGCTACAATTTAACCTAAATTTTTGTGGTAGGATAGGATGGCTTTAAGTCATGGTGAACAAATCTTTTCAAATTGCACCTAATTTCTGCAGTGAGATACAAATCAAACCCACTAAGTGAAGATGAGTCATGTTACTGGCTTCATTAGACTTTGCTTTTATTTGCTTTAACACACATGCAGGTTTTAGTAGGCTGTTTTGTTTTCTTACAATTGTAAGGCATAATTTTACAAGTCTCTCAGTTGTAGAAAGCAGAAAATGTTTGGTCTCTGAGCCCTTGATAATACCACTTTGTGACATGTTGTTTGGTTTTGTAGTAAAATTTTGATGCTCCAATCCACAATAATATGAAGAATATCACTGTCACTGTTGACACACTCTGATGCCTAAAGAGCTGGGAGGCAGTATAAAAGAACAGACTATAATACAATTAAAAAAAACAACAACAAGGTTTGGAGAAGCTATCTTTAACCAGCAAGGCTTGATTTAACCTAGAACACTTTAAAGAGAGTATTTCAAAATAAATGAAACAATTCTGCACAAAAAAGTATCATGAAAACATGGAAACAACAAAGGTCTTGGAGGTAAGAAAAATATGAGGACATTATGCCCAAATTCTTCAAACAGCTAAGTTCTTACTTCTCACTTACATTAAGAGGGCCACGGTACCAATGTACCTTTGACATAGGCTGTCATCGTTCTGCAGTAAATCAGCACCTGAAGAAATCTACGTGTTTCTAATGAGGAAGGATCTATTTTTAAGGTGCAATTAGAGCACATCTACCACTGTAAAGGCTCTGCGGTTACAAAAGAAGAACAGCACATAATGAGGTAAAGTTTACTGGAGTAGCTTTGAAAAAATGCTGGAAAAAGCTATTTTTAAGCTACAGTTCAGTAATAAACCTGATATTGAACCATCTGACTGAGAACCCTCAGTGAAAACATGGAAAATTTAGGAGGAAATGTGTAGTTTGTTAGATACTGTGATTTATAAAATTGGAGCATTTGTATTTTGCCTTAAGTTTGCTTGACCACAGTGAAAATATCCCTGGCATAGCTGGATTATTAGGTTTTGCAGCCAGATAACTCTATCACTGTTTACATGGTAAAAAGATATATCTAACAGACAGCCACTTATTTAACTGTGCTATTGTCAAAAAGAGGTAACTATTGCAATTTTGCTGTTAGATCATGCCAGTTATGACCAAACAGGTCATACCATAGGTTTATCTCAGGATTTTTCTAAGGCTCAACAAGAATCTATCACAAACAGATTTATTTTAAACTTCTATAGTAAAGAACATCTGTTCTATGTTTGTGCTTCACTTTTTTCCATGGCAGCATACAGTGAAATACAGCACAAGTGCTGTCAGAGCCTATTGTCCTAAGACACGAAAAGTATGTAACTGCCACAGGTCCCAACAGTAGCAGCAAAGTTCTGCAAGTTTCTGAAAAACAAAGGATGCTGGTTATGAATGTGATCCTGCGCCACTGAAAGTTATTTGTAGTATTGTCGCTGACACCACTACATCAGGTCTTCCTGGCTACTACGTCATTGCCTAGAAATGACTGCAATGTTATTTTGTTAAGAGAGGGAACATATTCAGAAACATGAAGTCGTTTGGAATCTTATACGGGTGGAATAGTTTCCCTTCGGTCCCAATTAGAAGTTGTCATTTTACTAAATTCTTCCCCTAGTTCCTGTATGATATACAAGCCTAAACCATGCAAATCATCACTTTAATTGTGACTGTATATATACTTTTTTTCTTATATGAAGTTTATTTCTTATGTCTCTTTTGGCTGAGAAAAATGGGGTTTTCCACACATACCTAAATGCTTTCAGAAATCGACCATCTGGCTCATTCTACAATTTAAATTAACAAAAGCCAGCCGCTGAGTGAAGTGGAGTAAGGAGGAAAAAAAATCTCTTGCATCAAATGAGCTGCTGAACTGGTCACACCAGTACGTTTCTTTTCAAAAAGCTGTTCCTTTTTCCCACCTGCAAAACTGAGAGTGATTTTAGCCAACATAAAAATTAGACTGCAAGCTGGTGTTTTTTTCAAAATCCACATGAGTATTAATGTTAGTAGAATATAAATAACAAATAACTGTAAAGGATAGTGTCTATGGTTTGCTTCATTGAGTATTTTGCATTTGACCAGGTTCTGCAGTGATGCTTCAGGAATTGTATAGTGAAGGGCAAGTATAAACTGATATTTCTGCTACAATATCCTCCTTAGTTCATCAGCAGTGTAGGAATTTCCCTGGGAGAAACTTACTCTGTTGAGCTTAATAACACTTTCTTACCTTATTCCATTAGTCTAATCATGTTTTATAATTATTCCTAATTTTGAAATCCAAAATGTGCTAGGGTTGTGAATTCCACAATTTAAATATGCATGACATGACAAAGGAAATCATGTTGTTTATCCCTTTGCCATTTCATTTGATGCTCCTGTTTTTTATATTATAGGAAATATGAATAATCATTCCTTATTCGCTACTGAGTCATCTGTTCTCCAAGCTGAAGAGCCCTAAATGCTGGAGACCTGCAAGGGTAACTAATAAAAAGACTGCTTAAAATGCTGAAGACACATGCTGTTATTCAGCAGCAGGGAGTTAGCTGGTATAATTCTGAAAAAAAAAATGAGGGATATGGGTTAAGTAGTGAACTGCAACCCACACACAATTACAAATGCTACAAAAAAAGGGTCACGTCTCCATTTAAGCAGGCAAGGGTTGGAACAGCCCTTTCTGAACAACTCCAGTGACAGTTCTGCATCGGTGCTCTACACTGACAGAAGCCAAATCATGCCTGTAAACTGCAGAAATTTCAGAAGAGAGCAGCAAAATCTACTTTTAAAGAGTTAAAAACACCTGATCAAGAGGAAAGGATAAAAGAGTACTACGGCTTGTTTAAACATCGACTCTGGGAGAGGCAAACACAGATTCTTGTTCAGAAACCTTAGAAGGATATGAACAATGATAAACAAAGCTGGTGTGAGAAAAATCAGAGAAGTTGTAATTCAGAAAAAAATAGGGGGGAAAAAAGGAAATTTCAGAGATGCTGTTGGGAGTAAAGAAAGTTTATGCAACTGCAAGAATCTCTTAAGGGAAACAGTGGAAGCTCTGCACTCTAGTCTTGAAAGTGAAGTTTGACTATGTATTAGTGAAATATACTGTAGAAAATGTTCTTGCATTGAGAGAAGAGATGACCTGAAAAGATTTTTTCCATCTCTGATTTCTACAGCTTTGATCTTAATTGATAAAATCCATTTTATGGAGAACCGCACAGGACCAAAGTGAAAAGCGGTCTGCAGTAGTAATTTATTTTAAATCAATTTTACTTTGTGCTAATCATGTATAGTTTCTCTGTGTAATTCCAGAGCAACTTTAAACTCTGCTCACTGAGGGACAAAAATAGAATACTGAAGAATAATTTCCATACACCAGCATGCACTAATCCGCTGGCACCCGGAAAGAGCTGCTCTCACTAAATGACTAATAAAATCCCTTTCCATCTCTGTAAAACGACAAATGCCTGGTTTTCTCCTTATTCTAGTCTGCATTACACCACTACCTGATTAATTACATGAAATACTCCTGAAGATATATTGCATTGTGCAAAGTATAATTGAAACCAGAGATACCATATTATAGTGAGGGCTATAACCATGCTTCCATTAATATAAAGCCTTATTATCAGCAGTATATAATTCACTCTGAGATTAGATTTGACATACGAGATCTTAGCCTGGGGAGGATTTTTTCCCTGAACAAAATTAAAGGAAAATCTTTTTTGGCCCTCAGAGATATAAAAGTGGAATGTGGATAGACAGTTTTGATTTAAAATGCCTTTTGTGTGTATATGACTGAAAAAATCCTTAGCTTCTGAACAGATTATGTTGGCTATATAGTTCATAACATCAGCTAGATATAAAGCAAGTAAATTTTCATGAAAAGTGAATTAGCTCTTTAATGTGGGAATTTTAAGTCTTGAAAATATGCTAGCAAATTTAGCACATCAACACACAGCACA